AAGGAGGGGAGAGGGAATCGAGCCATCAGGAAGCGTAAGTGTGGGAAAATGGAGGGGATGATAAAAGCAAGTAATCACAAGTAAGCAGGCAGCTGGTCAGTATGCTTTTCTGGCTGAGCCTTGTGACCAATCACTGCAGTCTGTCCTATCTTCTTCTTAAACCCTATTCCCAACTGTTTTTGATTTGAGTACATTCCAGTAATTAACACAAGTCCATCTATCTGGCAAGTAAGAATCCACAAGGCAGAAAAATCCCAGGTCCTGGCCAGAGACTGGACAACAGGCCTAAGGTCTGGGAATGAAGACTGGAGGGACTTAAGGTCTGGATCAGAGACTGGAAAGACTCAGGAAAGCGAGTATGCATTTAGGTTAGTCAGTGAGACTGTGTGTGATGTGCTCGTGGACTTCAAGCTAGACTAGTCAGCGAATACAGCAGGAGGTCTGGGGGAACACAGCAGGCCACGCAGACAACAGAGAGACCTATAAAGTGGGTTTGGCCTAAGCAGCAATCCTTAGGAAAAGGATCCATTCATGCTGTTTGTGTTTCTGTGGATGCTTGTAAAGCTGTGCGTTTGTGGCTGGCCATGTCTATACTGTGTTTGTATGTTCCCATGTGTGCATTTCTGGAATTTACACTCGGTCTCACTGCTGGCTGAACCTGGAAATAGGGAAAAGCAGCTGTCTCACAAGACAACTCCTTAACAAGCGGTAGTCTGTTTCCAGACAGATCTATATCAGCAAAAACACAGCAAAACACAAGATACAGAAGTGAAGACATGGGAAATGGGCTGCTGACACAAGACTAAGTCTAACCATCTCTTCAAAAATCTTGAATGTTTTATCATATGAACATACCTTCCATATCCAAAGCTCCAAGTGTTGCTAGTCTGGCAGCTTTTAGTCCAAACCCCAAATAGCTGTAAACAACAAAGACAGACATTACAGTTTTAATTCTTGCACGTCTGGTATGCTTCACCCATAGCCTCTTCCTAAATCCTGGAACACCCAAACCAAATTTCCTTCCTCTGCTTCCCACAGGTCTCCCCTCTCTAAAACAGAGAGCTCCCTTTGCCAGAACAATTCCAAGTACCAAAAGAGTGACACAAACCCAAGAATTACAAAGAGCTGTAAAATGGGTAAATCTAAAACTGCAGAAAGTGGTTAGAGCTGATGTGATTTCTACAAGACATTCATGAAAAGCAAAAATGCACAGTCTTAAAAACAAGGGAGAAAGAAGAGTATGTGAGGAGTGCAGGGGAACAGGATAGCCATTCTTATGTCACACACATAAGGCTATGTGCTCTTAGGGCAGAACTAACAGGAGAACTGCAGAACCTCCCACTAAATGGGAGCTGTGCCTTTGTGTGAAATTCACCTCTGTTTCACTCCACAGATTACCACTATACTGATTACAAGCTAGGATGTGAACAACATTTATAAGAATGTCATTACACATTGCTGGCTTCAGCAACACAGCTAGATTAAAAACCTGCTGGCCTTTCATTCCCTCCTCTATGTTTGGCTACTTATCCCTTCAGTCATGTCAGTACAAACATTTACAGAATAATCAGAGTTAAACTAACCTCCAGCTCCCTCATTTTTTAGGAGATGATTTTCAATCCTTATTATTTTTAAGTGATCTAATGGACTGTATTGGTGAATACAGCAATCAGTTACATTAGTAAATGTAAGCAGTAGGAGAGGAGGACTATTAAACCAGCTTTGCTGTCAAGTAAACATATTCTGTAACTGACTGAGATGATAATCTTCACCCCACTAGTAACGAGCTGAGACCAACTCTCTATTATACATGGTCAAGTTCTCATTGGACTGTAAGTCATGCAGGTAAACCCTCTGGATTTCACTGCAGACATCTCAGAAACTTGTTAGCTTAACGCAGTAAGCACATATGTTATTCCAGGCCAAGTATCCCTTCCAATTGGTTCAAGAATCTGTTGTGCTCCATGGTCTTTATCAGCTGCCTGTGGTTGTCTCTCTTTGGTTTACATCAGTCTAGGTTTTACTCTTTGTCCACTTGCTGATGAGATGTGCCATTTCGAACTAAGAAGGAAAAGGTGTCAGGAAAGTCCTCTTCCCAAACCTCTGACCAGGTTTAGTTCTGACTACTGGCATCATATCCACCTTTCTGCTTGGTCCAGAGTATTTGTCTTGAATCCAGTAATAAGAATTCTTCTCCTTAAATATAGTGACTCATAATGCTTCCTCTTCATTTGACAGACTGACTAATATTCCCTTGCAGTGATATTAACCATGATCCTGGAACGTTTCCAGTCAACTCACGTCATGTTCCACTTCAACTAATGTTTCAAGCAGATAAGAAAACTAGTAAAAAAGTCATGGTCCCAACAGCTGGTAACAGGACGACATGGCCATTGGCCATTTGTAGTTAGCTCAGGGGCTGCAGAAAGACTGATTTTCCCAGCAGAGACAGCAGCCTTTTTGCTCCTCACCTGTGGGTATAGAGCTTGTAGGTGCTATTAAACATTTCAAATGAGGTAAGAAAATCCCCAGGTGTTTCCTTCAAAGTTTCCTAAAAGTTAAATAAAAGAAGAAATCTTTTAGTTTCTATTATGCAATAAAAAATAACCAACTTTGATGTAATATCACAGATATACATATGGGGTTTACTGCACGCTCATCTGATCTGCTTGGAACACAAAGAACAGCCTTCCAATGGTGCCCACTCCTGTAATATCTGCAGCTTTTAACACTGAGTTTATTTACATGCATCTTTGTGTTACTTCAGTGTATAATAAGGAAGCGCAACAGATCAGGATGAAACTACTTTCTAATTCAGGATACCTGAATTTTTCAGAGGATTTACATGCTAGTCTATATATACACACAGTCCCCTTCGAAATCAACTTCACTGGAAGCACTACGAACTTTTGCAAGTCAGACCAGACATCTCAATTCAGGAACTCGGAAGAATTAAAAATGCAAAGTAAAGTATAGGCCACATTTTCACCATGTTAAATGTCATGCTGATACTCAAGGAAACTCTGTGGCCACTCACTCCTAGTCTTAGGGCTGCTTTACCTCCTGGTTTAAGTGCTTTCCTCCAAATTAACCTCTTGTCTCAACACCTCCAGTTTTCCTCCTTTCACAGTCTTCCCTCTGTGTGCACCTCTGCCCCACTGGTACTCAGTCCCTACCTTCTTGCCAGACTAACTGTCATATTCTTGTAAATCTGAACCAGTTCAGGGCTCATTTACTGTTCCTTTGTTTCCAGTCCACGAGATCTCAATCCCAGTTTCTGTCTTTCGTCTGCTAGTGACCTCATTCTCCCATCCTTTCTTGGCCCTCTGCATTCATATCAGACACTCTGTTGGGCCAAGCAGCAGAATCTGAGAGGACTGAAGCTGCAGAGTGTCTGTAGTTACCATTCAAGTAGGTAGATACAGCAAAAATAACCCAGATCTGGAACTGTAGAGTCCTAGACAGAAGCCTGCTCGAAGCTGAAAGGGATTTGGCAGTATTCAGCTTGAGTTTCTCCTGAACAAATACAAACTGAAATTTGTTTTGGGCCTCAGGTAGATTTTCACTGGAATGGCAGTCACATCCTTGACCCAACACACCCAGACACTGCCATATTTTGAGTTCTGTTCCTAAACCTTACATCACAAAAATTTGTAAAAAGGAGAGATCCTGAAAAAAAAAAGTTTGGAGAAAACAACTGGCTTTTTTCATGCCTTATTTTCACAAAAATGTAGAAATCCTCACACCCCTCCCAAAAGAAGGCCAATAGGATGCTGGGCTGCATCAAAAAGGGCATCACCAGCAGAGGTAAAGAAGTCATTATCCTACTCCACTCAGCGCTTGTCAGGCCACGCCTGGAATACTGTGTACAGTTCTGGTCCCCGTGACACAAAAAAGATGTGGACAGGCTGGAGGGGGTCCAGAGAAGGGCCACCAAGATGATCAAGGGTCTGGGAAGCCTGCTGTATGAGGACAGGCTGAGAGAGCTGGGCTTCTTCAGCCTTGAGAAAATGAGGCTTAGAGGTGATCTCATCACCATGTACCAGTACTTAAAGGGGAGCTACAAAGAAGATGGAGACTCCCTTTTTACAAGGAGTCACATGGTGAGGGCAAGGGGTAACGGGTACAAGTTACTCCCGGGGCAATTCTGATTGGACACGAGAGGTAAATTTTTCACAATGAGAACAGTCAATCATTGGAATAATCTCCCCAGGGAAGTGGTTGACTCAGCTACGCTGAACACGTTTAAGACTCAGCTGGACATGTGCTGGGCCATCTCATCTAGATTGTGCTAGAAAGGTTGGACCAGATGATCCTCGAGGTCCCTTCCAACCTGGTATTCTATGATTCTATGAAATGAGGCAGGCACCAGACAGACAATTTCATAATGATTGTGATTGATTGGTTTTCAGTTGCTTATCACTTTGGCAATAATACCATGAGAAGCATAACACTAGCTTAAAAACAGCTCCATGCAGTTACCATTATATGTCCTCTATTTGCTTGTAATCTACATTTCATTAATGAATCCCTTACTATTAGAGTATTTTGTTCAAAACGAATGCAAGAGCAAACATGACTGCCTCAAATTGCAAGAAGGGAAAAAACCCCTCTGCAAATCAAAGGGGGAAATCCCATCAGATGGGAAAAACTCTTCAGAAACATAGTGAGCTATGTATGTGCTTTTTTGTATGAACTTGACAATACAGGCAAGAAGCAGACATAGCATACAAGCGGGCAACGTGAACCTTGACTTCCACACTGCCCTACGAATTCACACCATTGGTCCTGGTCAGTAGCAAACCCTCCAGGCATTTTCCTGCAAGGCTCTAAGGAGACGTTTGAATCCTGAGCTGCAGTTCAGCCTACTTCACAGCTCTATTTATTCTCCAAAACCCTGACATGCAACACCCTTTCCTGTTGGTCCAGTTCCCGCTTCAGCAGGTGTTATCAACACAAAACAGAGGGCAAGCTCAGAGTACTTGAGGCTTGGCTGAACAGGATAAGGTTGCATGTCATGTTTCAACATGACACACCATTGCAGAATTAAAATATCCTGCTATGAAAACCATGTGTTTTGTAGTCCCTAAACACCCTTTGAGAATCTCAATTTCTGTATAACAAAAAAATGTTAAACAAAGGACTCCTTCAGAAAAGAGGACAAAAACAACTTCACAATATCAAGGTACAGAATGCTATAGTGCCCTTCCAATACCCATGTAATTTTCCCATGCAAACTTTAGGTTTGGGTCCCAGTTCAAACTGTTTCTAAAGAACTACAGAATTCCTGACAAATCCAACAGAGAAGGACTGAGGGGCAGAGAGGGGAATTCTCAAAGAAAATCAGAAGAAAATTATAAGAAAGCAAAGAGGGATTGGCTGTGCTATTATAAAAGATATTTGCCCCATGAGACACCCCCTTCCAAAATTTAGTGAGGATCTGCTATCAGACTGGAATGGGGCAAAAAAAAAAAAAAGGTAACTCAGAGCAGACCCTAAATTTCTTGTAATATACAAGAATACTCCCTGGAGATGTTCTACATTTATTGAATACAACATTAATGGGGCTTTCCCAGCCTGGGTCTAGAAAACAAAAGCTGTTTCTCTTTCTTTTTACCCATTTGCTTTCTTTCTTTTTTCTTCCTTGTTATCCAGGCTCCTTTGTTTGCAAGTGCCTATCAGCCAACTGCTGATGTCAAAGGGAACAGAAATACAGATGTTCTGTACACCACAGATGTTAAATTATAAGAAAGCAAAGAGGGATTGGCTGTGCTATTATAAAAGATATTTGCCCCATGAGACACCCCCTCCAAAATTTAGTGAGGATCTGCTATCAGACTGGAATGGGGCAAAAAAAAAAAAAAGGTAACTCAGAGCAGACCCTAAATTTCTTGTAATATACAAGAATACTCCCTGGAGATGTTCTACATTTATTGAATACAACATTAATGGGGCTTTCCCAGCCTGGGTCTAGAAAACAAAAGCTGTTTCTCTTTCTTTTTACCCATTTGCTTTCTTTCTTTTTTCTTCCTTGTTATCCAGGCTCCTTTGTTTGCAAGTGCCTATCAGCCAACTGCTGATGTCAAAGGGAACAGAAATACAGATGTTCTGTACACCACAGATGTTCTGCTTGTGCCAGCACTGACAAAATGATATCGGAGAGCACAGCAGTGCTCAGGTCTCTCCACTGACCCTGCAGTCCCAACCCGCGCACTTTTAACCACTCCTCACCTCAAATCGTGGCAGGAATGTGATTTGGGTTGAGGCCCCTCCCAAGTCCAGAGTCCCAACAGTATGCTGGTTCTGGCCAGACAGCTGCCCTGCAAACAACATCATGCTCAGAACAGCCCCAAGTGCAAAATACTGCGTGCATGTTCAGGCAGCCACCAAGTTATCACATTATCATACCAATACAGGAGGGCTGAGCTGGCCTTCAAAGACAAAAAACATCACAGAGAAACGGTAGACAAACAGAAGGTATTACGAAAAGAGTCATAGGACTTTCTTCCTTGATTCCTATTTCACCTCCAAAGAGAAAAAGCAGATAAATCTCTGGGTATCCATCAAAAGCTGAAAGTAAGAGACAAAGTATCTCCTGCAGAAGATGGTCAGGGACAGTACATAAATTCTGTAACCACCATATAGCTGGTCAAGAGCAGTAGGAGAGGAAGGATAGTAAGAGCAGAACCAACTATTATCATTTCTCTTCACCCACAGAAGCTTTTTTGCTTGCTTGTGTACCTACTAGAGTACTGATTCTTTTCACTAGATTCTTTTCACTAGATTGCATTCCCAGAACTTCTTAGAGGCAGTAGGGCTAAGGCACCAGCGCATTCCCTGTTACACCATTTTAGTTGCATAGTTCACGCTGGGATGAAGAACATCATTGTTCAACCTTGTTTCCCACCTTCTAATAGATTAGCAGTACCACTCCCCTACGTACGTTACAGAAGCCAGCTTGCCAGGGCCTCCCACTCTTGAGTAAATCCTGGCACCTTCTGGATGAAGATTCCTCCTTCTTACTACAGGTGTGGCTCACCCTCTGGAACGCAGTCTCCCCAAGATGATCGACTGCTTTAGCACTGGTGCCACAGTGGGGAGGAAAAGCAGGACATGGCAACCAAGGCAGAGGAACTTAGGGTGATCACCTCCACAGAAGAGACTCAAGTTCATATTTAGAGAAAAGTAATACAGAATTAACTACCTGTCAAAAAGTTCACAGTGATCCAGGCTAAAATTCCTGCAAAGAGTGAAAAAGGAAAAAAAAAAAAAAACAAGTCACCACTGAGTACTTCCACAACCTCCTGCCCGCCCTTACCACCCCTCCACAGGTTAGTTATTTACCTGGAAATCATTACTAACTTAACATAACCGCCCCATACTTCAGAGATTAATTCAAACTTATAATTAAGTGATATGATGTGTTATTGATTCATTAAAATCTCATAAGCTGGGATAGGTAGAACATTTGTAATATCCTTGCAACTGCAGCATGCACAAATCATGTCTATTATCCGAACAATATGCAAAGAAGGAATGAGCTGACACAGTGCACAAGTTTCCTGGGGCACTTCCCCCCCACAGCATTTTAATTCCTAATCTGCAAATTGCATACGCACCACTCTGTGTTTTAATATTGTGGTTTCTGTAATTACACTACATAGTAGCAACCAGTAAAACACAAACAACTCCTCTTTGACTCCAGCGGCTTGCTTGATGCTGGCATGATTCTTACCCAAACACAGGCAAACATGTGACAGTAGAAGAGGTGGGACTTTTAAATAAACCTTGGAAGGCTACACTGTGCTCTCTTATGCCTCATTGTTCCTGCCCCCTGTCAATACAACACTTCTCCCTACTATACAATTGATCCGTTAATCCTAGTGACATACTGTGCATTGCACCATATTTCATCGAATACTTGCACGCTTCATGTTATTTCTCCTTTTCTCTTGGCACATATGGACAGATTTTGCTCTTTAATCTTCCTCCATTTATTAGTTGTTTAAGTGTCATGATAATTCTTTTTGCTTTACTTGAACACCTTGCAAACTGGCAATATAACTGCCATAATGAAGTGTTCAGAACTGAGTGTAACACCACAGCTGGCTCTTTTCAGGCACCCATACAGAAGGATTATTACCTGCCTATTCTCCAAGGTAATATGTCTGGAGACGTAGTCAAAATGTTACAGTGGTCTGTTCTGCACTGCAAAATCATCACTTACTCCAAACCTACAACATATTCCACCTTTTCTTGTACTTTAGGTTACTTCCTTTGCTACTTTACTAGCTGCATTTTTCCAATCAGAATTTTTTTAAAAATTTATTATTTTATTATTTATTTCATTATCTGATTTTTTAATACTTGCCAATTATCCTTCATTCTCCTCTAACATTCACAATGCTTCCAACTTTAACCCGAAAATTGATGAGCTAATCATAACAGATTATTTTTAATGCTGATATTGCAGAATTTACCAGGCAGTTTCCATAAGCTTCCTAGCGTGCTATATATCGTCATGTAGCCTTTCAGAGGTGGACACCATCTTTTTTCCACCAGTTCCCAAGAGCAGGCTTCAGCTGGTTAGCCTGCATTAGCCTGCATACTTATTTCTGAGATGAAGTTCTCTTCTGGAACCTCAGAAGGTTTTGGATGAACCTTCATCTAGCTCACTCATAAAACTCTTTGTGTATCTGCATTTGTAGCCTAACCGATGACCAAGTAATCGACAACTCCTAGGAAAAGCAGAATTGAATAGTTTCAAACAGGGCTAGAAACCTTTTATTTTTTCCCTCAGTTCAGTGACTATTTCTCTATTTGGTCTTGTGCATTTCCAATGGCAGGATTTTCTTTTGCAGCAAGACAGCTCACCGAAAACCTCCCCCCCCCCCCCCCCCCCCCCCTTTGCTTTCATTTTTTCCTCCTTCTAAAACGCACCTTCATAAGACCCGTCCATGATGCTAACACTGTCCTCTGGAACAAGAAATGGTGATTCCTCAAAGACTTCTCTCACCTGAAAAAAGAAATAATGATTAGATTCCTTGGTCTTCAGAGTCTTGTTCTGCTCTGATGGTGACAGAGAAAGTTTTCTTTTTCACAGCAGTATAAAATAAGACAAGCATATGGAGTAGACAAAATTCTTCTTCTTTCAAGGGCCAGGAAAGAAAGAAACAAATATCATAGGTCTCTCTCCCCATGCCTTCTATCCACATCAAGACAGAGTATTTCAGGCCCATACAAGAAAGTCTGTAAAGTCTGTGAGTTTCATACTATCATGGGATTACAGTCACTTTTCACAGCTGAAATTCTCTTATGCTAAATAGAATGGAGAACCGAGTCATGAAAGACGAAACAGGAAAGCAATACTAGTGCATCCAAAAGATCTTAGTATTACCTCTAAAAGCAGAGCCTGAGCTTTCTCCTCTGACAGCAAGCGCAGTCCAGCTGTGGCTTTTAACACTACCGGGGTCTTCTCCCAGAGATGAGGTGGCACAGCATCTATGGCCATGTCCAGCAATCTTTTGACAGTTTCAGCACCCTAAAAGGAAAAAGATGTTGTTTTTCTTATGGTTTCCTCCTACAGACCATCAGAAAATAGGCCTCCCAATTCCCCCTCAACACTAGTGAAACCACTATTCAATAGCAGAAGATACCTCACCCACACCCAAGATAAGGATAAAAACTGTGCTAGACATCTCATAAGAACCTTAGGGAGAATGTCTGCATTGGAAGGATGAGTGTATTCAGAGTTGTATCTTAGGCAAGAGAAATGTCATTGTTTGTGGAAAGTATTATTTGAAAGGATGGAGGGAGGCGAGGGAACTGAGTATCTGACAAACCTAGACATTTTGCAGTATGATGAAACTAAATGGTACAATTACTGACTGAAGCTGCAAAGGTCAGGAGGAATGTCCATAGATTTCACTAAATGCAATATAAGAATTCCAAGTGCATCCACAGCAAATAGTGTAATTAAAATGCCAGCTGTAGAATGGTTACTACACGAGGTACAGGAATCACTGCTGGGCTCTCAATTATTTACACTGCTCTAGCAATTACAGTTTGGCATTAGCAAGAAACATTCTCCTGTGAAATGTCTAGAAATTTCTTTTGGGGTGAATTCTTCTCCTCTCCTACCCAACAAACAAGACAATTCAGTGAAATACTGGGAGATCTCATCAAAGTTTAAAAAAATCCAAAAGCCATTCACTTTTCCATAGAGTTTCTCACTCAAATTCCTGTAGCACTGAATGAACTGAGCAAACTGAGAAACGTGAAACTCCCCTTATGCTAGCCCCCGGCTCCAAGACTGCTGAAGCACACAAGGTAGAGTATCTAATCTATCATTTCTCTGGCACCTCATTTAGCCTGTGAAAGAGCTTACTGTCAGCACAGGGGATCTGGAAAATGGCAGCTTACTTCAGGACTGGCCCTGTGTATCACAACAACAGGATTATTTTAGTGCTCTCTGCTCTGCTGCTCATTTCTGACTCCTAATCCAATAGAGTGGCATGGAACAAGTGTAGTGCGCACGAATTCACAACCACCCCCATTTGAAAATAAAGAGGATTGCACCTAACTTCAACTTCTTATTAAATTATAAATTTGTGTGTTAATTAATACATCTGATTGTAGAAGATGGAACTGTCCAACTGTGTTTTGAAAAACTCTGCATATAAACAAAAAAACAAGTCCTGAGGCAGTAGAAGATTAACTGCCTGTACCTAAATCATTATTCAGCTACAAGTGTAATCAAATATTTGAAGCGAGCATGACTGAAGCGAGTCCTGTGTATCACTGAGCACTGGCTTCCAAGCCATGGCTCCAAAGATAACAGCAAAGAATCAAAACAAACAAATTATTGGAAGTCTGATGATAGAAGCAGAGAACACACTTAGAGAAATATTAAGGCCTGATGTAAACTGCTAAGTGCATCTTTATTCTTCCCCTTCTCCATAACTTATTAACAAAAATTAACTTTTGTAGATCTGACTATACACACAAAAAATTAAACATTTTTAGGAGTCAGAGAAATGAACCCTCTTTGCTTGTCAGTGTAACATGACTAAAAAAGAACACCCCCCCGCAGTGTTAACCCCCTTACTTCTAAACTAAACAAATCAAAACAAAATATGCCCATTTTGAACTGTGACCTGCACTGAAAATTTCAACCAAAAGGAAAAACTGAGAAAATTATTAGTAAATGAGACAGGAGTATATATTTACTCAGGGGTAGCTATAGGGGAAATAAACATTGAATATGGATGCTGCTAGAGCCAGAATCACTTTGCCTTTGAAATTCTCAAAGGCATGTAGTCTAGTTGTATATACCATTTAAGCAATTAGTTAAGCCATTGTTCCGTTGATGAAATATGTAAAACAACAGCTCCTATTTCACTGTGTAGAAATTAACTCACAAAAGTAGAGCAACAGGTTTAGAGAGCCAGCAGTAGAACCTTTACATTTTTTCTTGACTCTCTGCAATTACAATTAGTAATACTTGAACTGCTTGGTAGAGTCCAACTGATATTAGCAGAAGCAAGACCAACTCACAGGGAATGGAGAGCCTTACCTTTTCAGGCTGATCAGCATATGCAGAAAGTCCTGGCTTCACAGACTCAAAGATTTCCCCTTCCAACTCTGGAAGGTTTTCTGCACAAACAAAACATTACATGAAACAGTCAACAACTCAAATCTTTTTCTTTAGTTCCAAAAAGGTTGCCTGCAACCCCTGTAAAGTGACTATCCTTGATTTCACCTTGCAGACAATACTATTCCCCTCCTAAAACAAGCACTGCTCCTTCACTTCAAGAACATATTTAACAGAATATTGCCCTTGTATCCTCCAAGTTCACAAACAATTTATTAAGAATATGCTGTTATAAGTAGAAGTATGTTCATTTTGCATTTGTGAACTACAATGAGTTATAGCAGTGTAGTATGACTGATGCCTAATCTTAACAAAATTTCCTTCCCTTTCTGTCCCCAAGCTAATTGTGAAATACTAATTCATATTAAGACACACACAGTCAACACCTGATTATTCTTAGGTGATTCATCCAACTCACAAACACAGAACAGAGCTGACTGGGCTCAAGCACTTGGCTGCAAAGCCAAACAAGTGTGACCACTGCTCCCAGAGCAGCTTGGGTCTAGAAGCTATCCCTGGGTATTGCATATCACAAGTCAGGCTGAGTCCATCAGAGCTGGATGTTGTACCTGTCCTTCCAAACTAAGGTTGAAATCATGTGAAGCCACAGAGGTACTATGCGTGGCCCTGAAGGGCTTATTAGCTGAGTCCCATCAAACAGCCTTCAATCTTTGCAAATTTGCTGTCTCACTGTACCCAAGCTAGTTCACCCTCTTGAATCCTGTTGCACGTGCAGCCAACTTGGGTACCTCTGCGCTGTGTCAGAAGCAGATATACTGGAGTGTGGTGCATCTGCGCACAGGAGTTCTCCCAGAAACGGCTCAGACCTTCGGTGCTTATAACTCTTTAATTTACTGATTTTAATTTGCTACAAAATGTGACATATAAACATATGCAGAATTTAAGTATCTCTTGATATAATTCAAGGTAACATGCAACTTGACAAAAACAGCGTAAGTCTCTTTCCAACTTAGTGAGACATTCCTTTAAACAGCCACATAAATGAAAATCTTTGGAAATTCAGAACTCACCAGTATACCCAGAATTAAACCTCTGAGTTTCAAAAGATCTACAAGAAATATATCTTCACAGCAAAACACCACCACAAATGGACAATAATCATCTACCAGAGGACCATTTGAAGGACAAACTGTAGAAATCTTCAGTTGTTCCCAAATGCTGTGTTGGGACAAAACCCCTCTTTTGGGAAGTTGGAACCTAAGTCAACATAATCCAAGTGCACAGACTGACACAGGGTCTTACCTGGGCTCTTCTGCACAAAGGTGTAAATGTGAATCCGGGTTCCAGTGCTTCCTGCATCAAACATTATGCCATAAAAAGTGTTGGCTTTGGCATTTATAGGGCACATGTTAGGTGGAAAGAAATCCTGAAACCACATCTCCCTGTTTGAATGGGAAAGAACAAAGGACAAAGAGGAAAATGCCAATGCTAGAAGGATGAGAAGTCTGGAAAATGCCATCTTGCCAGGACCCCTTGAGGCAGTCAAGCATGGATCAGCAATCACAGAGCTGCAGTAGGTCCTGTAGAGAAAAAAAACAGCAATGGAAATTACCAAGAGCCCTCTCCTTAAAAAGTCTGTAGGGGGGAAAAAAAAAAAAAAAAAAATCAGTCTGTACACATATATTCTGCCCTCCAGGTGTTTTTCAACACCTCATCCAAAAGATGTGATTCACTGCAGTAAGTGATTTGTTCTCTCAGAGTAAAGGCTTCTCCATTTCCCAAATGCAGAAGAGTTAAAGTAGTTTGCTTCCCAGTATTTCTAGTTTTGACTTTATTTAGACAGTTTTTTTTTTCTCTAATTTGGCTTGAAGGTTCTCAACGTTTAGAGTCCCCAGAACCTTCAAAAAAGCCCAACTGTTATCCGAAAAGAAGCATCACCAAAGGGGAGCTCAGGGCAGAACTGCTTTGCCCTAACATTTACACACTTGAGATGCTGTGGCAGAACACAAGCATTATTCAGAGTCACAAACAAAGAGAATTTCATCTCGGGCTAAGAACAGCTGCTGGGACAGATTAGTGCACAGAGAGAGCGAAGGCATAACCTTCCAGCAGCATCCTCGTCCCCAAGAAAAGCCTGTGCTGCACAAGAGGAACTGAACTGTAAGGGGCACCTGGGCTCTGCCTCTCAGTATTTTTCATACTTTTCTTTTCTGTCTTCATTTTGGTTTTTCGTCATTTTCTCCTGACAGTTTTCATTTTCAGAATTAGAAAAACACCCAACAAAACCCCACCACACTCTCACATCTAGACCACTTGCCCTGAACACTCAGGTTGCTTACACAGCTTCTAACAACAGCTTCCAGAAGCCAAGGCCCCAAAGCTGTGTGAAGCAGTATTGGATGTGAAGATACAACTACACCTCCTCTCTGTAAACATGTATCTCTTTGCATATATTTTTCCTACGAAATGCTAATAAAGGAATGATACAGAAAATGGGCACAGAAATGATAGGGTTCACTAGGTGCCCAGGAAAAAAGGAGGATATATGTATTATAATATTATATATAATATTATATATAAATAGATACATATATCTTTGTTATTTGCATTTTAACAGCAGAAAAGACCATGTGGCCAGATGCCCCACCATATGCAGTACCACCTGCATTGCTATACACACAGAGCACTCAGCATACAAAAAGTGCAAACAGCTCCTTATCATTCTCCAGACACTTGGTAATGCATCCATCTGCCCCTAGCACTGAATATTCTACTTCATATGCCTGTTCCTCTCCTCTGCCCGAGACCCTCACCCACCTCTAGCGCTTACATTTGATTGTCTTTTAGCCATCTGCTCAGCCCCACTATGTTAATTCTCTCAAAATCTTTATTGGCTGTCTCTATCCTACATTTATGCATTCCTAATCCTAACCTCTCTCCTTTCTATGTGAACCTGACACAGCCTCTATTTCCACACACCCTTCTCCCATGCCCAAAGAACTCACTTATCCTCCACTACCTTTTATCCCAGATTTAGCCCGTGTATGACTTTTATTATTTCCATCCTTCACCTTTGTCCCCAGTTACAGCAAAGTGAGATTAACTTTTACCCATTCACACATCACATTGGGTCATTCCTCCAGTGCCTCTCTAACTCACACAAGCGTTCAGCTATCTCTAGGGCAAACAAAATGCACAGCCCACTGCAGAAGGGTAACCTTGCCTGTCTTCTGTGACCTTTAGTTGTATCCTCCCGTTCCCAGCAAAGGCAGAGCGCTGCAGGCGGAAGCACAAGCTCTTGACCCACTCTGCCTTAGAAGCACATTCTGAGAAGAGGAAGAAGTGACTTTACAGCTCACCAACAGGCGACAGCCCTGGCCACCCGCTGTGACAGATCAACTCCAACTGTAATAGTTTCTAAAGCATTCACATTTTATGTGGAAATGAGTAAAAACTTAGTTCTAACCTGTAACAACTTGAAAGTCCTATCATGAACAGAGTCCAGGAAACGTGCTGAGCTGTTTGGCAGCTTCAGAGCTATGGATTTCTACTAAGATGCAGCTGGCATTACCCACGTTTGCTTCATCACAGCAAGGAGGTCTACTGAAAATCCAAGAAGCTGTGCCGTTTTAGCAGAACATAAGCCGCATTGATGAGTACTACCTTCCAGCTGGTCAGAAGAGGTGGTGTTATTCTCATGCAATGTAGGGATTTTCCTTACTGAACAATCACAAATACAACCCAAGCACCTGCCTTAAGAACGAACTTGAGAGTCCTGTTACAAAGGGCACATGTGACACTTAACACAAGCCTCAGAATCTCCAATGATCCGAAAATATCTGAGCAACTGCCATTATTAACCCATACTTTTCTTGCCAGATGTACTAGTGGATGAGCCTTAGCCTCCCATGAAACAGTCCCTCACTAAGCTTCTCTTCTCTATCCCTTCTGTCTCCCCTGACTTTTTTCCTTTCCACCTTTATACTCATAATGACATAAAAAAAAACCAAAACCACCAGCAACCTTGGGATTTTATTTTTCTCCACCCTCATTAAGAATGAAAAAAGCACATGATGAGTGGTGCAGATCATTTAACCAAGCGCACTAGCAAAACAGTGTCCACGCAAAGCTTAAAAATAGGTGAGAGTAAAAAATCAGAGACAAGAGAGGGAAATGGGCTGAGCATAACAGAAATAGCAATGGAAAAGGAATTTGGAACAAGAAGAACAGAACAAAGAACGGAAGAAAAAATTTAGGGTAGAGATAGACAAGAGATCAGCTACGGAGAAAGAAAAGTATTTCCAAAGAAGTTCCTCTCAAACAACTTAAAATCCTAGCTGCTATCAGAGTACAACAGGAGGCATAAAATGAACAACAAACAGAAAGGAAAAAACAGGGTAACAGTAATATAAGCACAAGTTCATTAATATAAGCAAGCAGGTAAAATGCACAGATCACCATCATTAGGCTCCAGTTACTGCCTTTATAAACGAGCAGCCATAATCAACATCAATCGTGAATCCATTAGGCACACACCTGAAGCAGGATGGAAGCAACAGCTATTCCACTCGAGAGATTCCTAATGAAAACCACTTTGGAGCGCTGCGACAAGAGACACTGCGTCTGCACTTCTTTTCTTCACCTTCGCTTTCAGCTAGTAGGAGTGGACTATGTATCAGGCAAATTATAAGGTCATGGAGGCACATAAAACATCAGTCGAGTTGCTTTATTCAAACTTGAGTTTATCATTGCTCAACACAAGCAGTGAAACATGCTGAGATAATTAAGCAGGATGAATTTCAAGAAGTTGAAAGTTAACCGAGTTCAACAAGTTAGTAAAACATTTACACAGACATTACAGTCGACCTCAGCAGCGCTGGCCTGAGTCCAGTGACACAAGGTAGAACACTCATTTCCCAACACAGAGAAACACATGTAAACACCATCTGTGTAAGGCAGATTTTAGATACTAAGCCAAAAAGTTCAAGCACATCCAATATAAAGATTTGGGAGCTACAGAGTCTGTATGATCCAAAAATACTGGGATGCTGCATAAACTGCCAAGACTGAAAGCATGAATAGGAAGCAAAAAGAAACAAACCCAAACAAAAAACCCCAACCAAACTCTTCTTAAACAACAAAAGTAAAAACAATGCCAGAATAACAATAAGAAACCTTAAGACAGCAAGACACCACCTTACTTAGAGTTTGCTATACGCAGAAACACTGGTAATTTTCAAGACAAGAAAGTCTCACCCACATTCTTGAATATTTCTGACAAAAGAACATGAAAAACTCAAAATACAGCAACAAGAGCGTCTCCCTCTAAAATGAGTCTCTCTGATCTGAGTGGAAGCAAAAGCAGTGTACTTGAGATACAAAACAATTTCCCTTCTGTTTCCTAATACACTATGGGGAAATATTGGGATATAAAGAAAAATATTAGAAAATAATTAGAAATATTTACAAAATATAAATATTTAGGCAAATATTTTAGGAAACAAAATAGCCGAATCATGTAATTCAATTCATAGTGTTATTTATTGCTCAAGCACACCAAAAATCATTCCGAATGGAAGGTCTGTTTTCTGCACTAAAACAGTAACAAAATCTGTTTCCCAGATGAGCAGCTTTTACACTTAACACTCATGACCAGACAAATACTTTTTTACTTTTTTTTTTTTTTTTTTTTTTTTACAGAAACAAAAAGTCATTACGTTTTTTCCGGACTTATTTTTACCTAGTAAAAAAACGCTTTCTTGGATTGTTTTGACAAAAATTTAAGCTTCTTAAAAGTACACAGTTTAAAAATCACAACAGAAAGAATAACTAAATTCATTGGCAGAATTTCCCAGCATTTCCATAAAGATAATGGCTCAATTTTCTTTGCACACATACATTTGGGGGAAAATTCTGGATCTAGAGCTTTAAATGCTAGAAAAAAATAGAACCAACTCACAAACGTGTTATCAGCAGTTTTAATCTTCCTTTTCCCCGTACTGAGGCTCCAAATACGTATTATTTATTTATGCTCATTTCTGGCCAAGGGAGCTTCCCGTTTTCCTATTTAATTAGGCCAAGGCAGCTTTGCAAGAGGCTGCTGTGTTAGTCTCGCCCTCCTGCAGCGTGCCAGCGAGTGTTCCTTTACAACTTTGTAACTGTATACCTACAGGGGCTGTAAATAACATCTTTATCGGACCAACCGGTATTCTTAGAAAACAGATTTTAGGTGCTGAGAGGTTTTGGGTGCAGAGGGCTTTTGCTTCAGTCTAAGCTTGGGGAGAACTCCAGTGCAAATTTCAGCATGATGCTACTAGTTTTACGCCTTGAAGGCGTTCACCAGAGCTGCACCACGAGCGATCGGGAGACGGGCACCCTCACACCCCTTCCCAAATCTAACCACCGCGAGGGCTGTAGGTTTTTTGACGTGCACACACCTCCAGGCCGCAGCATCGTTCCCGTCTCCACGTCAAACAGCTGCAGCCTAAACCCTTACGCTGAGCGCGCCTACACAGTTCCCCTGCCTTCGCTTTCCCTCCCCCGGCACAAGACCCCGCGGCTCCTGCCCGCGGCCCGGGATCCCGCCGCCCGCGTCCCGCAGCGGGCACCGGTACCGCTCAGCAGAAATACCGGCAGCAGCCCTTGTTTCTCCCTCAGCCCCCGCCCCCAGCCGTTACTCGGCCAAGACCGCGCGTCCTCCTGCCCGCCCCCGGCGGCCGCGCCGCGG